AGGAGTGAGAAATGAAACATTCACTACAAATGTCCTGGGAAAAAGAACAATACTCAGCAGATTACATGAATGTGTGGTAACATATGGAAAGTGTTGTAGAAAGAAATTTCCACACAGTAGTTATATCTTTCCTCAGAAAAAATTGTAATGTCAAACGAAAGAAATCGTCAGACAAACATAAGATATGAACTCCCTACGAACTAAAGCCTGTGCTTCCCAGCAGACACTGTTGATCCCGAGATCTGGGGACTAGTGTCAGAACCACTGCCTATCAATATAAGAATTTCATCATCCATCATATTAAGTCTCAATTTCATATGAGCAAATTACAAAACAGAAATATTTATAAAAAAAACGAGTAGGAAAAATGGAAGTCAAACACAAGAAGTTGAAACTTAAACTTGAAACTGATATAAATTTGTGGTTGGTTGGTTGGCATTTTTTGGTGCAAAGCAACTAGGCTATCTTTGCCAAACAACCAGTAAAACCCATAAAAGAAAAATTGTTATAAAATATAAAAAATTGAGTTAAAACTAAACAATATTCAAAATTTAGATAAAATATTTAAATAGAATTAAAAAGGCCTAAAATCTGCAAAAAAGCTAAAAACACGATCAAGTTGTACAGTGTCACTATTGCCAATGACACCGTCCAACATCAGGGGTAAACCTGTAGAAATTATATGTCGAAAATTGTGCCACCGCTCACAGTCGTAACAACGGCTCAACAGTAAAATGTGGGCTATTGTGACTTGAGTGTAACAAAGGCTACACATTGGTGGGTCAGTATCAGATGAGTTAACAAAATGTGACCAATGCGAAGCCTAGCCAGGACAACTTCCTCCTTCCAATCCTTACAGAAACAAAACAGCCAAAGAGCAACAGAAGGTTTGATCTGGAAGCTGCATCTTGAATACAGGACCGTAGTCCATATATGGAACAGGCACGGGCATGACAGCACCAAAGCAGATGGACTTAGTTACAGTCTCAGCGAGCTCTTTCCTGTGAATACCGACATGGCCAGATAGAGAAAAATGGGCCAGTTGTTGTCGAATATTGATGAGAACAGGATGAGAACTAAAGTTAAGCGATTTCAGGTCCACTAGAGAGCTAAGAGAATCAGTATTAATAGTACAATCACTGTACTGCATAGCTTCTACATGATCCAAGACAAGAGAAATGGCATACAACTCGGCAGTGAACACAAAAACTGTAGAAGGGATCCTGCGAGCAACTACCAAGCCACAGCAAACCATGGCAGAGCCTACAGAGTCACCTGATTTCGAACCATCCATGTAAACAGGAAAAGATGGATGGTTCAAAAGATGTTCAGTAAAGAGAAGACGATACTTCCAATTAGGAGTATCTGCCTTCCTCAGATGACTCAAGGAAAGGTCACATCTGGGGATGGTAATAAGCCATGGTGGAATGGGCTGATCACTAGGGACAGCAACATCATCCAACGTAAGACCCAATTCAGCCAGTTGTGCTTAGAAATGAATGATGAAAGAAGGAATCGCAGACCATCTATTCTGAAAGAGCATGGCCCACCGAGGAAGAAAGACACAACCCTAAGTGGGATGCTGTGGTTCGGATTGAAGCATGGTTGCATACTGTAGAGAAAGTTGCAAACAGCGGAGGTGAAGAGCAGGTTCATGGGACTGTGTACTAACTTTGGACTGGAGAATTGCAGAAAGTCCCTGTGCAAAGCCATAGCCCAAATGGTGAATGAGGTCCATTATCTTCAAGGCCGAGATAATGGCAGAACCATAGACCAATAGTCCAGTTTGGATCAAATGAGGGCACGATAGATCTTGAGCACAGAACACCAATCTGCTCCCCAAAAGGTGGAAGAGAAGACACAGAGGATGTTCAGTGCCCTTTACACTTGACACATAGCTGCTTTATGTGAGGAATGAAAGTAAGCTTATGGTCAAAGATAAGCCCCAAGAACTATGCCTCAGGAACCACAGGAAGAACAACATCACCGAGACAGAGCTTGGGATCAGGGTGTAGGCTCTGCTGGTGGCAAAAATGCATGCAATCAGCTTGGAAAAAGAAAAGGTAAAACCATTTGGTGTGGTCCACTTCAAGAAGTGATTTAGAGCAGTCTGAAGCTGCCACTCATTAAACCTCATGTTCAACGACTCACACGAGATGTGGAAGTCATCGACATAGAGCCTGTTTGCAATAGTAGGAGGAAGTTTTGTAGTGATAGTATTAATTTTGATACTGAAAAGACATAGCCCTGAGGGACTCCAAGTTCCTGTGTATAAGAAGAAGAGTCGATCCCATACAGACTTGGAATCTCCTGTCCATTAAATATCTCTGAATAAAAATAGGTAAATGGCCACGCAACCCATATGAGTGGAGGTTCCGCAAAATGCCGTACCTCCATGTAGTGTCGTAAGCCTTCTCGAGGTCAAAGAACTTGGAGACAAGATGTTTTCTCTTGAAGAAGGGTTCCCCGATTGAGGTTTTGAGTTGAATCAGGTGGTCCACGGTGGATAAATTTGTGATCAAGCACAATCAAAATTTTGTAGTCACATGGAGAACAAGTTAAAGCACATATCAATACACTAGAATGCAAATTGAGAAAGTGAGGATTGTGCTAGAATTGTAGAAGGAGCTAGTTGTGCTAGTATAGATGGTGCAGTATGACTGGTGGAGGGTAGTCACATGATCAGCACATGTTCTGAAATGGTGCACTGTTAGTGAAGATTTTTTAGCAATGCTTAGAGGGCAACCCACAACTGAGAATGCTTTGGGTAAGAGGAGATAGTACCATTTTGGAAAATAAGATTTTTTAGTGAAGTATTTTTTAATAATTTGTCTGCAAATAAATCTTCTTTTTTTTACTAGTTTGAGTGCAAAAGGATTTTCATGTTAAGATTAAAAATACTTTTCTTCCTCTCAAAAATCTCAAATTTTATTTGCATAATCTCCAAAACGTCCTAAATACATTTCCAACATGTTTTTTCAGTAAAATTTTATATTTTATCTGTTATTTTTCTATCCTAACTTTATACAAAGTTGGTCAACTTGATTGACCTCGTAACCACAAAAAAAAATCTAAATAAATCTAAATCACTCTTTATATTTTCTAGAATGACTTCAAATTGTAACAGGAATACATTTTTTATACTTAGATTTTATTGTTCTATTTCCCTTTCAACCATGTCCATCAAGTATTCACACCATTATAAGTTGTAACTCACTTGAACAATGTGCACTTTACTTTATGCTATCGAATTACATTACCCACAAGCTACATGGAGCTGCTTATTTATTATTATTTTCCTTTTATTTTCATTTTAGTTACTTTTATAATAATAAATAAGCAGCTCCATGTAGCTTGTGGGTAATGTAATTCGATAGCATAAAGTAAAGTGCACATTGTTCAAGTGAGTTACAACTTATAATGGTGTGAATACTTGATGGACATGGTTGAAAGG